AGCCGTGGCACTTGATATCTCCAAGGCATTCGATCGAGTCTGGCACCACGGACTCCTCGCCAAGCTTCCATCTTATGGCTTGAGTTAATAAGGCAAGAGTTTAAGGAAAAGACCATCGCCATTTACTCCGACAGCCAAGCGGCTATAAAAGCAATCAGCTTCATGCAGATCAATTCCAAACTCGTCTGGGACTGCTTGGAAACCCTACAAGAGATGGGCAGTCAAAACAGACTGTACTTAGCCTGGGTACCAGGCCACACAGGCTACAAGGGCAACGAAGAGGCTGACTCACTAGCCCGAGAAGGAGCAAGATGTGCTCCTATCGGTCCAGAACCTTTCTGTGGTATAGCGAAAGCGCTGCAAAGAACAAATAACAGCACTTGGATGAAGAAGCAGTCTCGAGAATGGTGGAACAAGGCGCCGGAAATGAGACAGGCCAAAGAGTTCATTAAAGAACCATTGCCAAAATTCACGGAGTACCTACTAAGCCAGAATAGGAGAACAACAAGGATCTTGGTTGGGCTCCTGACAGGGCACTGTAGACTCAACAAACACATGAACAACATCGGATTGGCGGACACAACCATATGCAGGTTTTGCCAAGAAGATGAGGAAACCTCAGCACACATACTGTGCTACTGCGAAGGCCTGACTAGGCTAAGGTTTCCGACGATAGGGGAGGAAAAACCACAGCCCTCTCAATATATGGAGGACCTGAGGTCTGGCCTATGGAGTCTAGTAATAAGGATGGGTTTAGACAAGGAACTCTAACATAACATGAGGGCACACACAATAGATCTGTAAAGGTCGCAGTGGAGAGGCTCCTAGTAGCACATGAGCCCCATATCAATCTAATCTAATCTAATCTTATGGCTTGCGTTCCCCAGCTATGTTCTCTGCTAGCTATTTTCTCTCAAACGGGTCTCTCCATGTAGTGGTCGACGGAGTTTCATCTGACTCTCTTATCATAAATGCTGGTGTTCCGCAAGGATCAATTATAGCACCAATAATATTTCTACTCCATATCAACGATTTGTTGGAAGCAACTTCATGTCCAGTACACAGCTTTGCGAATGATAGTACCCTCCATACCACCTTCTCTTCCAGGGCTCCACTACCAGCTAGGTAAATCAGAAACGAACGAGGGAGAAATGTTGACAACATAAATATAGACTTGGCAACAATTCTAGAATGGGGATCCAATAACTCGGTAGATTTCAATGCAAACAAAACACAAGCATGCCTTTTCTCTAGGAAAGCCGATCTCAGTGTGCCCAACATAACGCCAGGAGTAGCCATACTTTTGAAGACATCAATTTCGATGCTTGGTATTATTATCAGCAATATCCTTTCTTGGGGAAATCACGTGAGATCAATTGTTTAAAGTGCATCCCAAAAACTTGGTTTTCTGTTTCGGGCCAGGAGCTATTTCACTTCCAGTCAGCTGTTCATGATCTATAAGGCACAGATCCGACCTGTCCTGGAATACTGTTCCCATATTTGGAGTGCAGCACCCAAACATACCCTGAAACTGTTGGATTCTGTCCAAAAGAGGGCCATTCGTCTCGTGGGTGATGCCTCGCTCACAAACTCACTCACTTCTCTGGAACACCGTAGACAAGTTGGCGATCTGGCCCAATTTTATAGATATTTTCATGGAAGATGCTCTTCTGAAATATCAACAATTGTTCCTCCATTGGCACTCCCCGCGAGATTAACCCGTCGAGTTGAGGCTTTGCACCCCTTATCGTTGTCACTTTGGAGACCTGCAGAACATCTCATCCCATAGACTCGTTTATCCAACGAACAGCGAGGCTCTGGAACACATTGCTAAGGAAGGTGTTCCCAGAGGCATATAACCTCCAGAAATTTAAGAAGAACACCAATTCCTACCTTTATTTCTCTTGGCTCCCACGATGTTCTCTAAACATTACAAGATATCCCTTTTCGTGGAACCAGAACATAAGAAAAATTCAAATTAGTAATGAATAAGCTTTCACGTTTTCCCGAAAGTACCTTAATATGAGACATACATCAGTTTCGTGTGAAAGAGCTAATAAATTATTTCGGTATCCTTCACAAAATAATTCGGATCGAATGAATCACAAAAACTGCCGAAATTTCCCAATCACCTTGTATATCGCCTCGCGTTGTCATACGGTCTTCCGCCGACACACACAAGACATTCTCCTCCGAGTCGCTTGCGCATTACCACCAACACCAAAAGTGAATGGTTCAAACTTCTTGAATTCTTGATCTGTCAGTTCTTGACGGACTGTGGCCGATTATATACACGCATCAAGTAGGCTGCATAGAAGATATATCCGATCGCGATGTCCGCGATTTAACCTGGTTTCTTGAGGATTTTCCCACAAAGATGCGACACAAAAAATTAGTGTCAGTGCGATAAATTTACAGTGTCGTGTTTTAGTGTGTAGTTTTTTAAGAGTTCCTCGGCATCTTGGAGAAAGGAAGGATATATATATCTTCATGAGTGAGTACTTATATACCTATTGTTTATTACCAATTAATATTCAAGAGATGTTATTGGTATACTGTTAGGTTTGTACTAGATATTGCAGCTCCGTATGCACAATGACGTGATATACCGGGTATGGACGATCGAAAGAAATGTTTTTCGATTACGAAGGAACTGAATGTTTGACTATACAACATATTTCAGTTCAGTATATTCGCACCCTTTTAACAGGGTGTTCTTTCTCCACGGAACCACTCGGAACAATGAAGCCGGAGATATATCTCATATAGAAACATTAGAGAGGCATTTCAGTTCATATAATTATACGGGGTTTAATCTTGAAAAATGAAAATTGCCTTTATACTCATAGGCTTTTTCTACATACTCCATGCTAACTAAAATCGATGAAATAGTTACCCGCCTACTTCTAATACATTTTCGAGGTGCTTGTAAAAAAATGTGGAATACCTTCACATGATTTATTTTATACAGAGTGACCAACAGTAGATGTATGGGTTGTCAAAGTAAGTATAATTGATTGAGTAGAATAAAAAGAAGGGTCGTTCCAAATAGGATTTAGAGTTATAGTTCCATTACTAATTCTTTTTGTTGAAAACGAGAGCAGACTCGTTATGAAAAACGTTGAAAAATAAGTGAAATTTCAAATTGTTTCACACGTATATATTTATCTTCTTCTTGGAGCATTTTTCGAACAAAATTTCACTGACCAGTGATTGTCTTCTTATCTTTGGTTTTGAAGAGGAAAATTTTTAGCGAAGTGCCAATATCTCAGTTATGTTATATGCTGCTAGGAATAAAAAATACACTTTTGTTGAACCCTAATGACTTTGAAACCACTGGGTCACATCTCGGGTCACATGTTTATATAAAGAAAAATTCTAATTTCGATCCCAACATTATGCCCTTGGAATATTCACAGCGGAATTTGAATCACCCTGTATAGTAAAGTGCAATCAATTTTTACTTCAACGATGTATCACATATTTATGATACTTCGAAATACTTTCAAATTACAAAATTCGAAGAAAACGGTTTCAGGTAAAGCTCATTTCTTTTGTTATGTTTTTTTGACCGTCCATGTGCGACATGTTCTCTGATGACGACTGTACATTCAACTAAGACAATCCTCTTATTCTACGGCTACAACACAAAATTTCTCTTGTTTCACCGTGTTCGATGAATCAATGAGGTACTTTGTATCTTTGTATGTCATCCATTTCATTTCCGTATCTGATATCGCACAATGACTTCATTGTGTTATTATTTCACAAAATCTCATCTTCCATGAAATGTCGAATTTCGAGCAATGACAGCTCTGTCTAATATACAGGGTGTTTCCTAACTGCGGTTCCTAACTGCAGGTGTTGATTCGTTAGGTCATTTCAGGAAGAAAAGTTCCTATGAACGTATGCCCGGAGTTGCTTCGTTTCTGAGATACAGGGCGATGAAATTGAAGAAAAAAAAAATGGTAATAAGAAAATATCATGAACATCCTGGAACCGATTCGGTTGAAATTTGGTACTTTTATTTGAACTAATGAGGCGCTCATTTAGCCCTATTTAGATTGAAATTATTGGGGCTAGTGGCGTCTCAGTGGGCACCACAGCCAACAATATTGTGAAAAAAAGCACGCCACTGACATTTTTTGGTAATTTTTTTTTTTTTCGATTGAGCAACTCAAAATACAACTTTTTGTTCACCTGTATTTTCTTCATATCCAGCTTCGTTCCCGAGAAAAAAAATTAAAGCCACTGTATTGCATATCATGAACACCTGCATTGGAGAAATGCGAGGAGAAATGAGTTTTTCATTATTTCAGTAGTTAGGAAACACCCTGTCTCAGTGGGCACCACAGCCAACAATATTGTGAAAAAAAGCACGCCACTGACATTTTTTGGTAAATTTTTATTTTTTTCTCGATTGAGCAACTCAAAATACAACTTTTTGTTCACCTGTATTTTCTTCATATCCAGCTTCGTTCCCGAGAAAAAAAATTAAAGCCACTGTATTGCATATCATGAACACCTGCATTGGAGAAATGAGTTTTTCATTATTTCAGTAGTTAGGAAACACCCTGTCTCAGTGGGCACCACAGCCAACAATATTGTGAAAAAAAGCACGACACTGACATTTTTTGGTTAATTTTTATTTTTTCCTCGATTGAGCAACTCAAAATACAACTTTTTGTTCACCTGTATTTTCTTCATATCCAGCTTCGTTCCCGAGAGAAAAAATTAAAGTCACTGTATTGCATATCATGAACACCTGCATTGGAGAAATGAGTTTTTCATTATTTCAGTAGTTAGGAAACACCCTGTATATGAGCATTAACTTAAGGAAACATCAGATGGCTGCAAGCGGAAGAAAAAAATCGCTATATGCTGTTACACCCGTGAAAAATATGTAGTGTATGCCTTTGCAGCAAATTTCATTCTTGTGGGAATTCACTATCACCGTGCTCGTTATACAATATACTCATTATACCGCATTATACGTTCTGTCCAAATGTGTATTCCGATGAGTATTCTGTCAATTGGACGTCAGTCAAATTATCAAGTGTGATACATCGTTGAAGTTAGAATTGATTGCACTTCACATATCAATGTTTAGTATGTGATGAAAAATTAAAGTTGGGTGTGATTTTTCAGGGGTATATAGTTTGACAGAAGTTGACTTTGATAAAGTCATTTGGGTTTAACAAGAGTCTAATTTTTTTGACAAGCAGCATAACTGAGATGTTGGCTGTATGAAAAAATCTGGGACAGTCATAACCACCTAGGTATATGTAGAAAATAAGGTTGTAATAAAATTAGACAAACTCGAACAGTCAATTTCAATAAGTGGAAATTTTGAAGAAATACATAATGATGTAAGGCTAGGTACAGGTGTATGAAAATCAAAATTTCAAGTCGGGTGCAAATAATCAATAAGTATAGTCACTGAAGATAATTACAACGTCAATCATGAGGATTATTATCTACTTTCTCGACTCAATCAAACTGTTTTTTGATCGTGTCTCATTATTTATCAATTTGCCGATAATTTTATTTCTGTTGGTATTTCAACGATTCTTTCCTGTAAACATTACGTCTACTTTCACCGCACACTTTCCTATATCTACTCACCCAAAATTGTAATTGTTACTTGCAATAGATACTAATAGAGAAAAATCTACATGTAGGTATACATTCATTTTCTCTCCTTATTAGTACCAAACGAGTACCAAACGAAACTTTAGGCCCCATCGGAAAAAGAATAAGTAGGTATATATTCATCACACCATCACCATCAGAGAAGATATATTCATCACACCATCACCATCAGAGAAGCAATACGCAGTTCAACAGTCTTCAATAAAAAATCTCGTAAAAAATTTAATTCCCTCGATATTTCTTTTTGGTTCGGAAGAATATGTGAAAAACAGGATTCAATTGCTTTTTCTCAAACCCCTTTCATCCTCTATTCAAAAATAATAATTTCGATCTATATAGTACAACTTCACTATTTCTACTGAAATATTTATACAGGGTGTCCCAAAATTACATAGAAAGATTTCAACCACACATTCTAGAAACAAAAAGAGGGGAGCTCGAGATGATGGATTTACGTAAATAGTTCCGAATCCCTCTGTGTTGGGATAACGAAACTTTGTACATGTATATAACATTTCATGCCCGATTTGTAAATATTGAGAATTTCCTGAAATTTTCATCAGGAGCGTAGGAAATAGGTGGGGCTAGGGGCATTTCTTCCCCCAACATTTATATCACTGCAGATGATTCCACTTGGACATAGAGTACATTTTTGGTATTTCCCGCTCCAGCAATTCTAACCCAACAATTACATAAGATACGGGGGTGTTTCCAAGGAAAGCGAGACAAAAATGCATTTTTCCGAACTGAAAAATGTACAGGCAAAAGATGAATAGTTAGTGAATTGGGCGTCTTGATTCCGAATCTCAAGTGATTTTCAACCTATTTTGACTCCTTTATAATAGGTATCATTTTCCGGAAATTGGGGTGGTTCGATGGCTGATGATGTTGGCCAGCAGTGTGAATCACTGAAGAAGACCCCAACTCAATCCCAAAGTGCATTTTTGGTAAATCTCTCGCTCCAGACAAATTCAGGATACTTACCCAACGATTACGTACGATACAGGGGTGTTTACTTTAGAAGTGAGACACACTGTATATGATGAATCATAAATGATGGGCATTGCACTGTTGAATATTCGATTTGTAACATTTGATGCAATGTACCAAAGATTTCCCAATTTTAATCATGTAATAAATCGACTTATTCATTGGGATATAGCTACAAAAACCATGACTAAAATCTCGGCCTCTTGAAATCTCGGCGTATTGGCTGACGACATATCAAAATTGTTGAAGGTTACCCGCTTTATCGGCTATTGCAGTCTCTCCAATAAATCATTTATGTAACTGCTTATTCCGAGGCTTATTCGATTCAAACAACAATACCCCAGATAATTTAAAACATAGAAACTATTCAAGAGGTACCTATTTGAATGTTGAATGTAATCAGGAAGTGAAAACATTATACTGGGTGTCTGGCTTCAAGTGCAATCATCGCCATCGTAATTTGGAGTAGAATGAGGTGATTCTTTAATGCATCATATTATATTTCCTAACAAAAATCAAGAAAATATGGGTATTATCATTATTTTATTCTGAAAACTAATAGTATCAATATGTATTTTATTTGCTCATGACACAAATTCATAGACTCAACACGTCTAAATACAATGTCCTATTCTAAAACAAAAATACCTTCAGAAGAGAACTGTCAATGATGAAAACCGCATTACAAGGTGTCTCTAAAAAGTCTGCATATTTGAGAAGTAAAAACCATTTCTTTGTTTTCAAAAAATCATTTCCAGAACAGTGAATTTGTTGAAATAGGTCTTATTTAAAAACTTATATGTATATATTTATAATCTACCGACAAATATGAGGTGAAAACATTAATCCGTG